AGACCACCCCAACCCAACCCGAAGACCCGAATTTCGGGTTGGGGGGGGTAAGGGTTCCACCTGTGTTTTTTCGACGTTTCCCGACCCCCCCCCCCCACTGGAAATCGAAGGTAAATCTGAGCCTTCGGGTTGGGTTGGGGTGGTTTGGTGGGTGGTGAATACTGTAGAGGGAAACAGTTTTTGGTCTGCGGGGCGAGAGCGAACCTCTTCCAGTAGAAGCTGGGCGAGCTACGCACAGCTCTAATTGCGGAGACAGGGCACAGGCGGGCGGGGCCTCAGGCGGCCGGAGGGGGGGCAACCGGTAGAGGGAAAAAAAGTGCCCTGGGTTTCTTAAAATCTGGGGTGCGCAGGCATGGATTAGCGCTCCATGGATCTGGCGCGCGGTCGCCAAATCCATGGATTCAGGGAGAAGCCCTCCCCGAAATGCGGCCGGTACTCCCTCGCTCGGCGGCGGAAATCTGCGAATTCCCGTGGAAACGGGACCCGTCGCTAATCCACGCCCCCTTGGTCCATGTTTGCGATCGCCTGATAATAATAAGCGTGGGGGGGTATTCCCCCGACGCGGGTCAACCTCGCCTCGTTGTCGCGACGCGACGGGGGTCGGAGCGCCTTCGGCGCGCGGTGTCTGCCCGCGACGAGGGTCGATGTGGGCGGGGGTGACGCCCCTGCGACGCTACTTCGAAACTCGGAGTAGGGAACACCCCCCCGCCGCCCCAAACTCGAAGCTGGCACGCGCGGGGAAGACTGCGGCCGACGTGCAACTCATCCAGCCCACCGCCAACATTGCTCTTTGGGGGGGGCATTGGCAGATGAGTGTGGCATGACTGTTCGCGAACTTCTGCCCGGGCCTGTCGCCCGGAGGTCCGTTCCCCGTGCCTGCGCCGGCCGCACGGTGACCCCCCGAGATGCTCCCCGATGGCCCCTGCCGACAGAACAAGCACACGGACACAGACACAGACACAGACACAGACACAGACACACACACACACACACACACATATATATATATATATATATATATATATATATATAATCACACACACACACACTTTTTTTCGATCCGCGGGTGGAGAGCGCACCTCTTCCGGTCGAAGCTAAGCGGGCCGCGCAGAGCTTGAATTACGCAGAGCAGGGGGAGGAGAGGGGGGGCGCAGCCTCAGAACGAGGCCGGGAGGAGGCAAAGCCTCGGAACCAGGCGGTGTCGAGGCCGACGAACTTACAAAGGAGCGCCTTCTGGAAGCCGGAGGCGAAGTAACGGTCGAAACTCTCACGCACACACGCACACGCCCGAGCGATACCACGCCCTCTAAGTCGCGGACTCCATTCGCGCCCGCCCGCCATCGCGCCCGCCCCCCCCGGAGAAGGACGGCCATCCTGGCCCAGGCTGCGCAGCGCGACTGCCTTCGCGACCCCGCGCCAGGATGAAGGGGCCCTGGGACACACACAAATAAATAGACACAAATGCAAAGATTTCCCATATTCTCCTATATGTTCTACGTTTTTGTCTTCCCCCCCACTTCGCATATTTTCCCATATTGTCTGGGGAATCGACGATTCATTGTGTCTGTGTGCTTTTTTCCCTCCTGACAGGAGGCTGGGGCACGCTCGGGGAGGGGGGGACGGCTCACGGAGAGGAAGCGTCGGCCTGGACTTAAGTCGGGCGTGTCCCCCTACGACGGGATTTTGGGCGAAAAATGAGAAATACGAAAAAAATACCCTCCAAATGCTCCCCAGTAGTCAAAAATCGTGCCCAGGCTATCTTCTGACTATCTTTGAATGTTCCTCCTGTAGAGGGACAGGCCCGACTTACGCCTGGACTCGGCGATACACCGCCGACAGAGCGGGGAAGGCTCCCCGATGGCGAACCTGTACGTTCCTGGGCGGTGGACTATCGGGCTCCGATCGGCAATCGACGGGCGAGTCTTGGGGGTCGATGCGTCTCCCGCTGACCCCATCCCCCCCCCGACGCTAATGCGGGATGACGATTAATAAAAAATGAAAGAGAACAATTAAAACAATAGTTTTCTGCTATTTCTGCACAACTGTCTGACTGGAGGAGAACGATTGAGAAACAGTTTTCCAGCCCGCGGCCGGTTCTTTCTAATCGTCATCTTGGGCGCCGCCGCGTGAACACGACCCCCGGTCATTTATTAATCGTCATCCTCCATGATTGGAGGTCGATGCGTCTCCCCCTGAGCCCACCCCCCCCCCCCCGACGCTGCCCAGGAGTGGCGTCCCGGTCCACAAAACGTGTCTCTGGCGGCCAGGCCGGGCCGATCCTGGCACCCCGGGAACGCCCTCGCCGAGGCGCAGCCGCTGGAAAGCATCCCGAGGCCGGGAAGCCGCGGGGAAACGGACAAAATGCTCAACGACGCTCGACCCTCAAACCCCCCAGAGCCTCTCCCCCCCCCCTCCCCTCAGTGGGCCCCGGAAACAGCAGGGCCATCTTGTCACCGTTTCCGAAAAAGTCCCCTGAAAATGGAAACGGCAAAAAAACGCCGACCAGAAACGGCAACAAAAACGGCTCCAGGATTGGAAAGCACGGCGACGGAACCGGAAAAAAAACGGCGTCGGAACCGGCGAAACAAAAACAACGGCAAAACGGAACCTATAACAAAAACGGCCCTGTCGTTTCCAGGGCCCACTTGAGCCCCCCCCCCTATTTGGACGCCCGACATGGGTACCGAAAGAATGGGTACGATGCCCAACAGCAAATGTTGTCCCAAACCAACAGCGGCCGCTGTTGGGCAGGCGGCCTTCTGTCTCGAATGGACACAGGCCGCGGCGGCGTGGACAGCGAGGCCTGTTCAACATGAACAGGAACTGCTGTTGGGCATCGTACCCATTCTTTCGGTACCCATTCCTAGACCCCCGACGTCATGATTTTTTCATGACGCGCCCCCCAGAGGTCCCGACCCACTCCCCGGGACCGGTTTTTCGCCCTGAGTCGTTTTTTGACGCTCCCGAGGCCCGGCGACGGCCCCCGGAGGCCGAAAATAGCGAAAAGCCTGCCGCCTTGACTTCTTCATCACTCGAGGGGGTCTGGGTTTCGGGAGCGGCCAAGAGGGGGGCGTCCAAGAGGGGGGGGTGCAAATCATGACCGGCGGCATGTGCGCGGCCCAGCGGGGGGGCCAGGGACGTAATGAAATAAGAAGAGGCGCCACGAAATCTGGGAAATATCATGGCCCACGCCATGATATCCACCCCAATAAATAGGACACACAAATAAATACACACAAATAAAAATAGTCCCCATATTTTCCCATATTTTCTGGGTTTTTGTCTTCCCCCCCAATTCCCATATTTTCCCATATTTTCTGAGGAATCGAGGATTAATTGTGTCTGTGTGTTTTTTTCCCTCCTGAGTTTCGGGCGTCCAGGCCCTGGCGTTGCCCGCCGGGCGCCAGCTTCTCGCTGTCGTCCGGCGGCAGGCGGTCGAAGCTGAGGTCCACGGCCACCAGCGGGGCGGCGGTCGCCTGCCACTGCTCCAGCTGCCGCCAGGCCAGGCCCGGCGTGGGCAGGTCGTCGGCCTCACGCGTGAGCGAGCAACGACATATGTACATGTACGTGTTAGCGAGCAACGCGCGTGAGCGAGCAACGCGCGTGAGTGAGCGAGCATCGATCGATGTTGAACGATTGGACGTTGCGGAGACGGCCGATCGTTCAAGGTTGAACGATCCAGCGCGGTGTCAGAAACTAACGCCAGGGTCGACACGACACGAACCTAACGTATGTACATGTACGCCCTCCGCGATCTCGAATGCACGAACGTCCTCGTTCAAATGCCCTCCAGGGGAAGCTAGCCGCGCACGTGTACATATGTTGCTGGCCTCTGAACGCGGGTCCCGGGGTAGGGGAAGGTGGGGGGGGGGGGCGACCAGGCAAGACGAGGATCGAGGAGGACCGAGGAGGAGGACGAGGAGGACGAGGAGGAGGACGAGGAGGATGGTGGGGGGAACACGCCCATGCGGGCAATACTTATATCAATATCCAGTGCGTCTTGGACGTTCTTGGAGGGGGCGCCGCAAGGCCGCGGCGCACTGGAGATGGATAAAAGTTGAGCCTTTGGGAGGCAGATTATAATCCATATCCAGTGCGCCTCATGTTTCTTGGAAAGAGAGTCGGAAACTCCAAGACACACTGGATGTGGATATAGACATTGCCCGCAGACCAGACAAGACGAGGATCGAGAAGGACGAAGAGGAGGACGAGGACCAAGGACAACCCAAGACTCGTCAACGGTAACGGAGAGCACCCTCCCTCCAAGCTCCCTCTTCATAGGCCCCCTACAGAGATTCATCTCCACCGAGGGATGTTCCCCGTTGGGGGATCATCGTGTGAAAATAATGAGGCGTGACAAAGCATTATTCTCAGGACTTCAACGCCACGAATCAACCTGACTGCTGCGTCCTGACGGTCTAGATCCGTGCCAGAACACCATTTGGGACTCCGATACCGCGAATCATCGTAACGAGCGCGCCCTGACTATCCTGAACTGTTCACAAATCATCATGTCTGACACGTAAACCGAATCTGGGAACGGTCCATACTTTTTGGAAACGAATGAGTTGAGGGATGAAACAAACTAACCTACCCTGGGTTACAAGCGCGTGGTCGGTAAACATTCTAAGAGCCCCCAAGGCCTAGAGCCGCCAGGACGCGGCACATCACGCAGGATTTACCGCGTCAGCCCACAGATGTTTCAGCGCACAGCGCCTCGTAAACCAGGGTAGGGCCCTTGAGAATGTGCACGGCGCAAGCGAGTGCCGAATTTTGAAAACCACAAATCATCAATGTTTGAAGCTTTTGCACATGTGTTCGAAGAATGTGCGCGGCACTAAAGCGAGGGCCACAATTTGAACACGAACCGCCCGCAACCCCTTGAAACTCTTGCAATTGTTGAGACTGTGTGCGCGCGGCGCTAGGGCGAGAGCCACATTTTGAAAACCACCTTTCATCGATTTCTGAAGCCCTTGCAAAAATCAACATGTTCGCGGCGCTGAAGCGAGAACCACATTGTGAAAACGGCCCGCCCTCAATCCGCGAATCCCTTGCAATCTTCACACGAATGCGCGCGGCGCTGAGGCGAGAGCCACATTTTGAAAACGACCCGCCCTCCATCTTCGAAGCTGTCGCCAGTTCCTAAGCCTCAGGCCCATGAGTGGCAAGGAAGTCTCAAGCGAAACGCTCGGCCCGCCCTTCCGACTGGCCTCGGGGTGCGACTGGGAGGACAGGATACGGATCGGCGCGTCGGCCGCGGGTCCCTGCGGCGGGCAGGACAACTGGGCCGCTGCGAAAGAAATGTCTGCGGGCCCCTTGCAAAGGAATGGGGAAACCAAAGAGTACCAGTACCGATGCCGCTGCTTCCCAGACCTCTCCCCGGGCGCGTTCTGACCAGGATTTCGAGGCGAATCCAGCGGTGGCGACGAGGGCCTCCCAGGAGGCCCAAAAGGAGGAAAACGAGGAGATGGTAGAGGCATGGGTACCCTTTCCTCTTGTGCAGGGAGGGCGGGAGAGTGAAGCAGGAGGAGGAGGAGGAGGAGGAGCCGCGGAACGGCGGGCAGGGAGCCAGGATTATGTTTTCCCATCCTACTTAAGGACCGCATCCAGGACATAATGTCGAGCACCCGGAAAAGTGCCGAAAGAGTGTCGAAACAGTGTCGGGCGAGTGTCTCCCAGGGACCGACACGTGAAAACCATCGAGTTTCGGTATTTGTTTGGGGGCTCGAAATTCTTTCGGGTGATCAAGGCTACAGTCGGTTGGAACATCATAAAGCCAGGAGGAACAAGATACGCAGGACCACGAGAGGCTGGCGCAAAGGAGCCGGAGTCGGCCAAAGCTGGAGAGCACGAGCGTGCCCCCCGTCTGGATGGGGTGGAACTTGCCGTCGCTCGTTTGTCCACGCCCCGTGCCTGTTGTTTTACGACCTCGTGCGTGTTTTCGTTTTTTTGACCCGATGATCCAGGATGCTCCCCGATGGTACTCGCCGAGAAAGAAACCACACGTCCGAGCGACGCCGAGGCAAGGGGGGGGGGGTAAAAAACATGCAACATGTTTTCCGGCGGCGCGCCCAGAGGGGAAGCGAGAAGGGGCGGGGCTCCTCAGAATGCTCGTGGGTCCCCTGGCCTTCTGAACATTTTTTTTTCCGAAGCCTTCCCCAAAGGACGCAGAATGCTTCTCAGAATGCGCGAGGGCTTCTGAGAAATCCCGCGGGCTTCTGAGAAGGCCTTTTTAAGGGGGCAAACAAACCTACCTCGCCTTTGCCCACCCTCGCTTCCAAGAGACACCAAGCGGTGCCAAACTGCGGCCTGTACTGGCCAGGCCGCTTGACTAGGAGGCGCGTGGTATGGCTTGGTTCTGTCTGGAAGCGAAAGCGGGGTAGGTAATTCACGCTCTGACTTTTCCCTCTCATGTCCCCCCCGCCCGCGCGCCGCCGATACTCTCCTGCCGCTGGGGAAGATCCCGGACAAGGAGGAGGAGGAGGAGGAGGAGGAGGAGGAGCGAGGAGGAGGAGGAGGGAGGAGGAATGCGAGGAATGCGAGCATGAAAGACAGCAGAAGTCTAAAAAACTGAACGGGTTAATCTGACCCCGACTCAGAGCCCTGATCACCTCTGCCGTTGCTGCCACCGCGGGCAGCCTCCAAAAGGCGGAGGGACTGGGACACAACTCTGAGCTCCTGGGCCTGGCGAATCTCCTCCTCCGAGGGGGGGGAGGCTCGAGGGAGGACGGAGCGGGGACCTCCTCCTCCACCGAGCCCTCGACTGGGGCGGCAAAAGCCCCGATACCTGCCGAGGGGCGGCGGGAACCTGACTGCTGCTAGCCCCTCCCTCCCCGCGGCGGTCCTGAGGCTGCTCAGGCGTCGGGCCCGCGAGGCGGGCGAGCAGGGCATCGCGGACGAAACGCGGCGGTCCCCCAGGGTGGGGGTAGCGGCCGTTCTGAATTCTCGTGAGATTCTGGTCCCCCTTGCTGCTGGGGGTGCAACGGCCGACAAGCCACCTGGGATCACAGGTGGCGGTTTTACCACAGGCAGCACAGAAGGTCAGCCCATATCGCCCCCAGAACTGGAGGCGGTGGGAGGCGTGGAGGCTCTGACCTCCTATCTCTTGGGACCCCTTCAACGGAGAAATTCCGTCGCCCACTGGCCTGGCCTGGCACCTGGTGAGAGCAGCCTGCTTGATTGAAGCTCTCGTCTCGAATCGAGAGCAGCACAAACACACGAATTTTGGGTCGACTTTCCGCCACTCCTGGGCGGACGATTTCAGCACTCGGGCCATGGCGGGCACGGGAGGCACCTCGGGGCGCTCGGGACGAGCCGCGGTCCAGGGATCGGCTTGGACACACTCCTCCAAAGCTCTACGCGCCCTCCTGCGGACCAAAGCCGCCTCAGCGTCCCTGCGGTCGGTCTCTGGGACAAAGCCGAGGGTGAATTCACTCCAATTCAATCGGGCCGCCCTTCAGGGAGGAGGGAGGGAGGAGGGAGGAGGGAGGAGGGAGGAGGGAGGGGGAGGAGGGAGGAGGGAGGAGGAGGAGGAGGAGGAGGGGGGAGGAGGGAGGAGGAGAGGAGGAGGAGGAGGGAGGAGGAGGAGGGAGCAACCTCCAGGGCGACGAAAGCCCACGAGCGGGCACAGGCGCCGACTTCCAGTCGGGGACCTGGGGACAGGCGAACCTCCTGCAAGGACATGCGACCCTCCTCCCTCCTCCTCCCTCCCTCCTCCCTCCTCCTCCCCCTCCTCCTCCCTCCTCCTCCTCCATCCTCCTCCTCCTCCCTCCTCCTCCCTCCTCCTCCCTCCTCCCTCCTCCTCCTTCCTCCTCCTCCCATCCTCCCTCCTCCTCCTCTCCTCCCCTCCTCCTCCTCCCCTCCTCCCTCCTCCTCTCTCCTCTCCTCCTCCCTCCTCCTCCCCCTCCTCCTCCTCCCTCTCCTCCCTCCTCCTCCTCCTCCCTCCTCCTCCCTCCTCCTCCTCCCCCTCCTCCTCCTCTTCCTCCTCCTCCTCCTCCTCCCTCCTCCCCCCTCCTCCCTCCTCCTCTGGCCAACGTGAAGAGCACTCGAGGGTACCCTGCCCCAGGAAGCGCAAGAACACACCGCAGACGCGAAAAAACCCAGGATGCGCAAGAACATCCAGCACACGCGAAAGACACTGAGGGAGGGGAGGAAGCGTTACGTGATGGGGTGGGGAGGGGGCGGAGGGTAGGGGTCATCGCGCGCTTTTGGCCCAGAGGGTATAAACAAAAAACACTCTCACGGACGGAAACGCTGAGGGGGGACGCTCGAGGGGCCTGGCTCAGAGGGGGAGGGGGACATCGACCTGGAATCGGCGATGCAGCACCGATGGATCGGCGATGCGCCCCGACAGCGAATTCCGCGGGGTCCTGGGTGGGGTGGGCTATCGGGCCCCATCGGCGATCCATGGGCGATTGGGGGTCGATGTGTTCCCCCATGGGCCTGGCGCACCACCCTGCGCGCGCGCCTGCAGGCCCGGCCCGGGCCACCGGATGAATTCGTCAATTCGGTGCACCTCCCCTCCCTCCCCCCTCCTCTCCACTCTCTCCTCAGCCGTGGGGCGCCCTATTCGCATGGCAAAAAAAATGTTCCCCCATGGGTCAGCACCCCCCCCAACGTTTAAGTCGGGCCTGTCCCCCTACAGGGGGATTTTCGACGAAAAATACTCCAAAAATAATAAAAATATAATCCAAAAATAGTCTGGGGACTATTTTTTGAGTATTTTTTTTTTTGGGGGGGGGGGGGGGCATTTTGGGGCTACTTTTTATTTTTCGTCGAAAATCCCCCTGTAAGGGAGCACGCCCGACATAACCCAACGTTGCCCCTGAGAGGCGCCACCCTGCCGGCCTCTGTCGGCACCGGCACGACCGCGAGGATGTCGCTGACGGCCCTGGCGCCCGTGTCCTGGGACCTCGAGAGCTCCTGGCGGAGGCCCTCGGAGAGCTCCCGCGGACTCCCCTCCCTTCCTCTCCTTTCGGCGGTGGAAACAACTCCCTTTAGTAAACCTCCCCTTAGTGAAAACGGCCTGGGACCGAAACCGACGGACCTGGACCCGCAAAAATGACGGCCGCGACGCCCTCTCGCGAACCGAAAACGGCCAATTCCTTAATCGACGTGTCAGGGTAGGAGGTCTATCCACCTCCGATCCTTTTCCCGTCCCCCCATGCGCCGCCTCAGGAGACCTGCGCGGGCCTCCGAACATGCAATTATGGTGCCGATGGCATCTGCTCTCGTGGCCTTCGAGAGGGCCCCCGAGCGTCCCGAAGTGCCCCCCGGACCAGCCCCGGGTCCTGCAGGATGGCGCTCAGGGCGTCGGACATGTCGCCGTAGCCCTCGCCGAAAGCCTCCGCGAGCTTCTGCGGGGGCACCAGCCTGCCGGGAGGGGTGGCGTCGGAAGCCCGGGGCAGGAGGGCCGTGGCCCTGGGCGGGAGCGCTGGGCAACGGGGGGCCCCGGGTCTCTCCGGTCCTGCTGCGAGCTCCGTCTCTTTCCCCTCGGGGCGCCCCGCCGAACTCCTGAGGGCTCCAGGCTGCCCCAGAACTCCGCTGCCGCACAGCCAGAAGAAGGGTTCAGGTGGCCTCCTGGGCGGCCCCGAGCGGCCCTTGCAGAGGGTTTCGGGGACCCAGGACGGCCAAAAGGCGACCTCAACCCCGAGGAGGACACGGACGCTGAAGACGAGTGCGAGAAGCAGAGCCGCCGAGCGAGCACGGGCAGCGTCCGCGCTCGTGCTGAAACAGGTCCAGCGTGCTGATGCCATTCACCCACCCACTTTCCCTTGCAAGCGCACACGCGCGCGCAAACTATCGAATGAGTGAGGGGGCCATGCGGTCAGTCATTGCCCCTTGGCGCGTGGCTGAAAAGGGAATCCGTGATGAGGATTATCTCGTTGCGGTGTTGCCGTTGTTGTTGTTGTTGGTGTTGTTGTTGGTGTTGTTGTTGTTGTGGTTGTTGTTGTTGTTGGTATTGTTGCTGTTTTTGTTTGTTGTTGTCGTCGTCACACCCGCGACCCACCCGCGACCCACCCCGCGACCCACCCCGCGACTCACCCGCGATCCACCCCGCGACCCATCCCGCGACCCACCCGCGACCCAACCTGCGACCCACGCCGCGACCCACCCCGCCACCCACCCGCGACCCACCCGCGACCCACCCGCGACTCACCTTGCGACCCAACCGCGACCCAACCGCGACCCACCCCGCGACCCACCCGCGACACACTTGTGACCCGCCCGCGACCCACACCGCGACCCATCCTTGACCCACCCCACGACCCACCCGCGACCCAACAACAACTCACCCGCGACCCACCCACGACCTACCTCCACTGGTTTAACGAAAAAATCGGCGCCTGCGGCGGGCTCGTTGCACAATTTGTGAAACTTTGGCGCCTGCGGCGGACTTCTCCAGAATCTCGCAGACTGCCGACGTCCCCACTGCCCCTTCACTCTTATCCGCATCTGCGGGGTGCTACGTATGTGTGTATGTACACCACCCACTGACTGACTGACTCACTCACTCACTCACTCACTGCCACACACTCTCTCTCTGCCTCAAGGAGGATCTTCAAAACGCAGGCTCGCGTTTAAACACCTGCGGCCCCCGGAGACAGCGGAAGGCAGGACCCTTCCCCCTCGGGACCCACTCCACGGCGACCCCGTGCCTCTCCCCCCATCGAGGCAGGACCAACCAACATCGAATCGGAACATCGGATCGAATCCGAGAGTGAGTCGGACAAGGCCACCATCGGCACGACGTCAGCATCGAATCGAATCCGCCGCGCAGGGGTGCACAACAGCACCATGCAAGCCTCGTGTCTCAGCGGACCGCTGGAACATCGGAATGACATCGGATAGGGCCAGCCGGAACCTGCGCCGCCAGAGTATGCACAGATCCACTGCCGCGGGATCGCGTCCTGGGGTCTCGGGGAGCAGTAGAGATCGATACCTGCCCGCCCGCGCGGGCGCGCAGGTATCCATATCCACCACTCCTTGAGATTCCATGCCACGACCCCGTGGTAGTGGACCTGGACAGCTCCTGGCGGTGACGAAGCGACGTCGGATCGGATCGGTTGGCTCGAAGTGGACCCCGTCGGGGCCCCCGCGGCGCGAGGGGGGTGTGGCTCCGGCGCCGAAAACTTCGACTCCTGGGGACCTCCTCCTCCTCCTCCTCCTCCTCCTCCTCCTCCTCCTCCCTCCTCCTCCTCCTTCCTCCTCCTCCTTCCTCCTCCTCCTTCCTCCTCCTCCTCCTGGCGCCCTGGGGGCGTCTGGCCAGAACTTTCGAGGCGGGCCCAGCAGCGGCGAGACCGGGGCGCCCTCCCGCGGGGCGCCTCGAGGCAGGGCGAACGACGCCCTCCGAGCTCGGTCCCCCCTCCCCCGCTCCCCGTCCCGGGTCCCCCTCCCCAGCGTGAGCGTTCTCTTGTTGGGCGTTTCGACCTTGGGCGGAAGACGGCCATGGGAAGCCGAAAGCGGCTGAGCTGAATGTCGTGAGCGATTTTTGTTCACGACGCGGACACAGACATCCTCCGATGCCATGCTTCCAAGACGCGGCCCCAGAGCCCCCGACCCGCTCGCTGGAGGTAACTTTGGGCGGAAGAAGGGGGGGGAGGGGGGGGAGGGGCTGACTTCGGGTCTCTGCTTCCTGCGACGGTCTGCAGCAACGCGACCTGCGGGGGGGAGGCTCCCCCGGCCCGAAAGGGGCGTCGATGAGCAACCAGGATCTGCTCCACGAGAAGGTGGAGGGGGGTGCGAGGGCCCGCGCGGGTCGGCAAAATAATGAATTAAACATGTTCGCCTTCCCCCTTCCAAATCTGAAGGGGCCCTAAGACACACAAATAAATACACACATAAACAATCATATTCCCCATCTTTTACTATATTTTCTGTGTTTTTGTCTTCCCCCCCACTTCCCATATTTTCCCGCATTTTCTCAAAATCGATGATTACTTGTGTCCGTGTGTTTTTTCCCCTCCTTACAATCATCCGACGTCGTGATTGTTCCGCCACGTGGCGCCGCAGAGGTCTGGACCCCGCCTTGGGGCCTGGCTGCTCATGAGCCGTCTTCTTGACGGCCCCAGAGATTTGGACGCCCGAAATGGGTACGGAAAGAATGGGCACAATGCCCAACAACAAATGTTGTCCCAAACCAACAGCGGCCGCTGTTGGGCGGGCGGCCTTCTGTCTCAAATGGACACAGGCCGCGGCGGCGCGGACAGCGAGTCCTGTTCAAGATGAACAGGAACTGCTGTTGGGCATAATACCCATTCTTTCCGTGCCCATCTCGGGCGCCCAGAAGAGACCGGCGAGGAGGCCCCGGAGGCCGAAAAGGGCCGAAGCGTCCGCTGCGACGTCTCCTCGGGGCAGGGCGAGTTGAGCCAACGGCGGCGCAAAATCGGTCCTCTCTCATGGGCCGTCTTCTCGACGGCCCCAGAGACCAGCGAGGGGCCCCAGGGGCCGAAAACGGCCGAAGCGTCCGCTGCGACTTCTCCTCGGGGCAGGGCGCGTTTTTTTGTTTTACTCATCCTGCGCGCGGCCTCGACATCCCTTCCTACCAGGACGCCCGTCAGGTCTCTCAAAGTCTCTCGATTCCACGACTGCCCCCTCGGATCCAGAGTTGAAAAAAGCCGCTCCTCAGCGGCACGTGGGCTGTGGGAAGGGTGATTCTCGGAGCAGGGCGAGTCGAGACAGCGGCGGCGCAGCGCCCGCTGCGACTCCTTCTCGGAGCAGGGCGACCTGAGACGGCCGCTCATGAGCCGTCTTCTTGACGGTCCCAGAGACCAGTGAGGGGCCCCAGGGGCCGACTCTGGCCGAAGCGTCCGCTGCGACTTCTTCCCCTCGGGGCAGGGCGCGTGGAGACAGCGGCGGCGCAGCAGATCGGTCCTCGAAGCTCTCCCGGGGCCTATAACCGCACCAGTTCTCTCCGCGCTGCGTCCGGCCGTGGCGGCGAGGGGGGCTCCCCCACCCTCGCCGCCACCGGTGTCTCCGCCCGCCCTCCTCGGACTTTCACGGCGGAGGAGGAGGAGGGAGGAGGGAGGAGGAGGAGGGAGGAGGAGGAGGGAGGAGGAGGAGGAGGAGGAGGAGGAGGAGGGAGGGGGAGGGAGGAGGAGGAGGAGGAGGAGGAGGAGGAGGAGGAGGAGGAGGAGGAGGAGGAGGAGGAGGAGGAGGAGGAGGAGGAGGAGGCGCGAAGATGCCAGGGCCCCCAATGGGTGATTAATATATGGGCGGCTGGGGGTCGATGCGATCCCCCCCCCCCATCTGGGCCTCTTTCTCTCCCCCAGCGCGGCCCCTGAGATCCGACTGCACGAACAGATTCGACAGCGCAACTCACAAACTCGACTGGGGCCCTTCTACATCGCAAATCGCAAATCACAAAATTCTACATCACAAATTCTCCCTCACAAATCACAAACTCTACATCGCACATCACAAACTCAAACTGAGCCCCTATCTTCCTGACACATGTTTCGAGCTGGATCGATGCGTTGGGGCCCTGGGGTCCGAAACGAGGCAGAATCGCCCGCTGCAGGAACACATGCGACGCCAGGACCCCAGTGGATGTCAGGATGTTCAGCCTTCTGATGCCCATTGAGGGCCCTGGATGGCCGACAATGATTGAACTGAATGTCGTGAGCGACTTGGTCACAACGCGAACCCAGACATCCTCCGATTCCATGCTTCCAAGTCGCGGCCCCAGAGCCCCCGACCCGCGCACTGGAGGTGGAGGTGGCTTTGAGCCTCGGAACCGCTTCTGATGGCCATGGGGCCCGAAAGCGTCCCCCGAAGGCCGACATCGAGGAGAAATGGCCAGGATTGACAAAAAGCAAATCGTCGAATCAACGGGAAGACGTGAGCCCCCCCCCGCACCCGCCATCGCTCGGACGTCCATTCCCCTTGCATGTTTCGGCTTCGCGCGTTCATTCCCAACCATGTTGTGGTGATGGGTGCTCGTTTTGAAGAGACGGCGCCCCCGTTCTTCTCCTCCCGCATCCTTCCTCCCTCCTCATCCTCCGCCTCCTCCCTGCGTTTCGACCACCCAGTGCAGCGCTCCGTGGCCCCATAGGGAGCTCCACCGAAGCCCCCAGTGGGACCACCCGCATGCGTCAGCCACCACCCAGCACAGCGCTCCGTGGCCCCATAACGATGGACCCACCGAAAGCCCGAGTTGCACCGCCCGCATGCGCCAGCCACCACCCAGCACACCGCTTCGTGGTTCCATAAAGGGCGCTCAACCGAAGGCCCCACTGGCACCGCCCGCATGCGTCAACCACCACCCAGTACACCGCTTCGCGGTCGCATAGGGGGTCCACCGAAGGTCCCAGTGGCACCGCCCGCGTGCGTCAGCCACCACCCAATGAAGCGCTTCGTGGTCCCATAGGGAGCTCCACGGAAGGCTCAGTGGGGCAGTCCGCATGCATCTGCCACCAACCAGCACGGCGCGTTGTGGCCCCCATAGAAGGGGGCTCAACCGAATGCCCCAGTGGCACCGCCCGCATGCGTGGCTCGTCAAACCCCACCCAGTAAACCGTTCCGTGGGCCCCGTAAAATTGGGCTCCACCGAAGGCCCCAGTGGGACCGCCCGCATGCGTCAGCCACCGCCCAGCACAACGCTTCGTGGCCCAAATACTAACTGCCCCAGTGGCACCGCCCGCATGCGTCAGCCACCACGCAGTGTAGCGCTCCGCGGCCCCACCGAAGGCCCCAGTGGGACCGCCCGCGTGCGTAAGCCACCACCCAGCACAACGCCTCGTGGCCCCAGAGGGAGCTCCACGGAAGGCCCCAGTGGCACCGCCCGCATGCGTCAGCCACCACCCAGTATAGCGTTTCGTGGCCCCATAAGGAGCTCCAACGAAAGTCCCATCAGCACCGCCCGCAGCCACCCAGTGCAACGCTTCGTGGTCCCATAGGGGGCTCCACCGTAGGCCCCAGTGGCACCGCCCGCGGGCGCCAGCCGCCACCCAGCACAGCGTTTCGTGGCCCCATAGGGAGCTCCACCGAAAGACCCAGTGGCACCGCCCGCATGCGTCAGCCACCGCCCAGCACAACGCATCGTGAGCCCAATAAGGGGGCTCCAACGAAGGCCCCACTGGCACCGCCCGCATGCGTCAGCCACCACCCAGCACAGCGCCTCGTGACCCAGAAGGAGTCTCCACCGAAGGCCCCAGTGGCACCGCCCGCATGCGTCAGCCGCCAGCCAGTGGCCCCATAGGGAGCATCACCGAAGGCCCCAGTGGCACCGCCCGCATGGGTCAGGCACCACCCAGTACAACGCTTCGTGGCCACGCAGGGAACTCCACCGATGGCCCCACTGGGACCGCCCGCATGCGCGCCCCCCCCGCCACGCAGTACAGCGCTTCGCGGTCCCATGGGGAGCTCCACCAAAGCCCCCAGTGGGACCGCCCGCATGCCCCCCCCCACCCCACCCAGTACAGCGTTTCGTGGCCCCATAGGAAGCTCCACCGAAAGACCCATGGCACCGCCCGCATGTGTCAGCCACCGCCCAGCACAGCGCTTCGTGGCCCCATAGGGAGCCCCACTGAAGGCCCCAGTGGCGCAACCCGCATGCGCCAGCCACCACCCAACACGCCGCTTCGTGGCACCGTAAAGGGCGCTCAACCGAAGGCCCCACTGGCACCGCCCGCATGCGTCAGCCACCAACCAGTACACCGCTTCGCGGTCGCATAGGGGGATCCACCGAAGGCCCCAGCGGCACCGCCCGCATGCGTCAGCCACCACCCAATGTAGCGCTTCGTGGTCCCATAGGAAGCTCCGCCGAAGGCTCTAGCGGGGCGTCCCGCATGCGTCAGCCACCAACCAGCACAGCGCTCCGTGGCCCCATAAAAGGGGGACTCAACCGAATGCCCCAGTGGGACCGCCCGCATGCGTCAGCCACCACCCAGCGCAGCGCTTCGTGGTCCCATAGGGGGCTCCACCGAAGGCCCCAGTGGCACCGCCCGCGCGCGTCAGCCACCACCCAGTAAAGCGTTTCGTGGGCCCATCGGGTGCTCCAACGAATGTCCCAGTGGCACCGCCCGCGTGCGTCAGCCACCGCCCAGCACAGCGCTTCGTGGCCCCGTAAGGAACTCCACAGAAAAACCCTAGTCGCACCGCCCGCATGCGTCGCCCACCACCCATCAATGCATTTCGCGGCCCCGTTGATTGGGAGCTCCACCATTCACCAGTGGCACCGCCCGCATGCGCCCCCCCCCCCACACCACCACCACCGGGCACAGCTTTTCGCGGGCCCGTAGGGAGCTCCAATGGCCCGCCCGCGTGCGACCCCCGATCCAGCACAACGCTTCGCGGGCCCATAGGGAGTTCCACCGAAGGCCCCAGTGGCGCCGCCCGCATGCGCCCCCCCCCCCCCCCTCCCTTGACCCCATAGGGAACTCCACCGATGGCCCCAATGGAACCGCCCGCGTGCGTCGGCCACCACCCAGCACAGCGTTTCGTGTCCCCGTAGGGAGCTCCACAAATAAACCCAAACGGCACCGCCCGCATGCGCCATCCACGCCCAGCGCGGCGTTTCGTGGCCCATAGGGAGCCCCATCGAAGGCCCCAGTGGCACCGCCCGCACGCCGCGTCTCCCCCGCCCATCACGGCACGCCCCTCACGCGCTTCGCGGACCCATAGGAGAGCTCCGCCGAAAGCGGCGCCCGCAACGCGTTACTCACAACTGCATATGGTTGGCTCCTTCGCCTTAATCTGTTGCGCGGGATGGCCCAATGGGCCCCTCGATGGCCCTCGCCAAGAAAAAACTCGCACGCGTCCGCTGCCAAGCCGCCTTCGGTCGCTAGCCGCTCCTCCGCCCCAGCGCCGGCTGCCCTTTACCTTCGAGGCCCGCACGGACAGCCTGGGAATCGGAGCTGGACCCCCGCGCGGAGACGCCGCCGGGGGCGGCGCCAGAGACGCCGCCAGGGGGTACGGATCCGAGAAATCGCGCGGAGATCCATGAAATCGGGGGCGCGCAAACACGTATTAGCGATCCATGGATTTGGCGCGCGGTCCCCAAATCCATGGATCGGGGGAGGTGCCCTCCCCAAAATGCGGCTGGTGCCGCCTCGTTCGGCGGCGGAACTCCGCGATTTCCCACGGAAGCGGGGCCCGCCGCGAATCCGCGCCCCCTTGAGATCCATGTCTGCGATCGGCTGGTGAAATTCATGCTCATGCCAACACCTGTTCCTGTTTGGACACCCGAAATGGGTACCGAAAGAATGGGTACAATGCCCAACAACAAATGTTGCCCTAAACCAACAGCGACTGCTGTTGGGCAGGCGGCCTTCTGTCTCGAATGGACACAGGCCGCGGCGGCGTGGACAGCGAATCCTGTTCAGAATGAACAGGAACTGCTGTTGGGCATCGTACCCATTCTTTCCGTGCCCATCTCGGGCGTCCAGATCCTGAAACGGGAACCGACCACCACCCTCAAAGAAGCCAACTCTTTGCGCGAAGTTCGCCGGCCCTCACGCGCGCAGCGGCAATCGTGCCAAGATTGCGCCGGGCCCGGGCCGCACTGGCCGCCGCCGGGCGCCAGCCGCGCGGAGGCCTCGCCACCCCGAGGGGCCCCGCCGCACGGGCCCCGCCGCCGCACGGGCGCGGGGACCTCGCGGGGGAGGCCCCAGGGGCCCGCGCGGGGAGGCGCCCGCGGAGAACGACCCAGGGTTATGTTGCTCCCATCGTGCTTAAGGGCCACATCCCATATTTTTTCCGAGCACCCAGAAAAGTGTCAAACGAGTGTCGAAACAGTGTCGAAACAGTGTCTCCCAGGGCCCGACACGTGAAAACCGTCGAGTTTTTTGAATACTCTCCCGGCGCTCGAAATTCTTGCTAGTGATCAAGGCTAAAGTAGGTTGGAACATCATGAACCCAGGGCCCGGATCCGCGCGGGGGCCCCGACATCCCCACCGGCACGCCTCGCGGTGCAGCCGCCACGCTGCTGGTAGAGAGCAAGTAACACGGCGTGGATGCGAAACTGTTGGCGCTCCGCGCGGGTGTCTTGGATCTGCGCTGGGCCCTTAGATGCTCATTCTGGGGACCTTCCTGTAGCCACTCGCTCCACTCGTGCGTCGAAGCTGCGTCGAACCTGAGTCGAACCTGAGCCGAACCTGAGTCGAATCTGTGTCGAACCTGAGTCGAACTTGAGTCGAACCTGAGTCGAACAGATCCACTAGGTGGGCCCAAGGAAGGTCCCCAAAACGAGCATCGAAGGGCCCCCTTCCTGTCGCGCGGGGGCGTGCCAGGGCAGGTGCTGGAGGCGCCGCCGGGGGGGCACTGAGCGGATCAAAGAAAGCCGCGCGGAGCGCCAAAAGTGCGTGTTGTTAACGTGAACGTTTTTGTTGTTCGGCGTTCCGACATCGGGCGAAAGGGGGGGGTCTGGCTCTGGAACTCTTGTTCAAGCGACTGCTTGCAAAAATGCGTCCTACGGGGGAGACCCCACCTGGTTGAAACACACGCCAAAAACCGCCAAGATCTACTCCATGGGTGGGGGAAGCGCGTGTGCGAGGGCCCGCGCCGATCGGCAAAACAACTGATAAGACAAACAAGCACTCGACGGCACCTGTTTCTTCGATGTTCGGGCCCCCCCCCGACGCCTACGTTCGCCGGCCGCTTCTCCGCCATCGGCGCCGGCCTCCTGCTTGTAGGAGGCCCACGTCTGCTGCAGGGCCTCCAGCAGGCTGCCGGCGCCGCCGGCCGCGCACCTCGGGGCGGGCGCGGGGCGGGCCTGCTCGCCCCCCCGGCAAGCCCAGGCGAGGCCACTCTCCAAGTCCAAGCCCCTATCCTCCTCCTCCTCCTCCTCCTCCTCCTCCTCCTCCTCCTCCCTCCTCTCCTCCAACTCCTCTCCTCCTCTCTCTCCTCCTCCTCTCCTCCAACTCTCTCGTCCTCCTCGTCTCTCGTCCTCCTCGTCCTCGTCCTCCTCCTCCTCCTCCTCCTCCTCCTCCTCCTCCTCCTTCTCCGCCTCCTCCCCCTCCTCCTCCCTTGCTGCTCTCCAACTTCTCCCTCCTCATTCTCCTCCTCCTGAAGCTGCTTCTCCTCCTCCTCCTCCTCATCCACCATCTGTAGATTCTGTGCTCATCTGAAAACTGCTCCACCTCCTTTCCCCCTTCAAAAAATCCGGGGGCTCCCGAGTGGGCCCCCAACCCCGTCACCAAGGGGGACCCCCTGGAGATTGGGATTGTGGCCCCGGGTCCCAAGCCACGAAGAACGCCACCTGCCGGACACAGCCTCTTGGAGGACTGGCGCAACTGGCGAGCAAGGCCACCCGGCCCCGAGAGAGGAGGGGGGAAGTGGAAGGGGCGCCAGAGGCGCCATCAGGGGCCCCCCGCGCCGACCAAAGTTACAAGATCCTGGATCAGTTTCCCATCCTGCTCCTCCTCCTCCTCCTCCTCCTCCTCCTCCTCGTACCCTCCACCTCCTCCACTTCCTTTCTTCCATCTTCTCCTCCCCAGCTCATCCATCGCATTATCCTGCTCCTCCTCCACCTCCTCCTGCTCAGTTCCCCCTTCTTTCTCCTCCTCCTCCTGCACCTCCTCCTCCTCCACACCCAGAATTCATGACGAGAGCCTTCGGCAAAGCCTGTCCTCGCCGCCCTCCCAGGTATGATAAGCACCCAGCCCTGAACTGCCTCGAGGAGCGACGCTATCCCAAACAAGGGAAACATGGCACTGTAGTTTTCGCTGCCCCCCATCGCTCTTGACATGTTTAAACGAAAGGCGCAGGGGACGGTTGGGATTTCAAGCAGCAGCAGCAGCAGCAGCAGCAGCAGCAGCAGCAGCAGCAGCAGCAGCAGCAGCCAGGAGAGCGGCGACCACTAACTGATTCAGTGAGATGCGTTGGTTGTCCTCCTACTCCTCCTCCACTTACTCCCCAGCTCCTCCATTCTCACTTTCTTCCTCCACCTCCTCCACTACCTCCTCATGCTCAGTTCGCCCTCTCTTTCCCCCTTTTCCTCCTCCTCCTCCCCCTCCTTCCCCCTCTCCTCCCCGGAACAGGTCCGGGGGACGATCAGGAGGAAGTCGTCGAGGGCGAGGAAGAGGACGGACGAGGTTGATGGAAACGACGAGGGCCTTGCCCTAATCAAGCCGGTCAATGACCCCGCCTCGTCGTCGTCGTCGTCGTCGTCGTCCTCGTCCTCCTCGTCCATATCTCCCTCCTCCTCCTGCATCTCACCCTCCCAATACTTAGCGTCTTCCCCACCCTCCCAATATCCTTTTGCTTGTCTTTCTCCTGCTCATCGTCTCCCTCTACCGTGCTCCTCCTCGTCTTCCTCTTACTCCTCCCCTTCGTGCTCGTCGTCCTCCTCGTCCCATCCTCACCCTCCCAGACCTCCTCGTAGCCCGCGCCCTCATCGTCGCCGTCGTCTTCGTATTGGGTCTTGTCATCGTCGTCTTCCTCCTGCTTCTCGAGCAAGACCCACCTCCTCATGTTCCGCTTCTGGGCAGTCTTTCCGTACTCGTCTCGTCTCGAATAGGCGGCTCGAAGGCAGCATGGGCGTTGTGGATGCCATGGCTACTGGGATAAACCTTTCCATTTCAATGTTTTCACACTGTATAAGGAGTGCTTCAAATACGTCTTTTGAACTGTTTCATGTTTTAAACATGTTCTTAACATCTGGACACTATTTGACAGCATGTCTCCTCTCCATTGATCGTCTTCCACAATATGAGCGCAACAGGCACGTGTGCTGAGGAGGCTAGGGCTACGGGGCCCATCACATCAGCCTCCTGCCCTTCCTGCAACTCCTGCTGCTGCTCCTTCTGCTGCAACCCCCACTTTTGACCCCTCCCCAGATACCCTAAACTCACATTGAAAACCGCCCTTACAATCCTACTCCTCTTTGTCCTGTTACTCTTCCTCGTCGTGCCATTACCAGTCGAAGTGATAGTTTCCGCTCACGCGAACCAATGTCAAATCGCACGCGTATGGGCTGCTCCGGGGCTTGTAAACGTCGCTGCGCTTGTGTTATTATTCTGCGTGTTATTCACATTGTTCATCGCGTTCTCCCTCTTGTTGCCCGGTTCTCGTCCTTCTCGTCCTTTCCTACTGCTCCTCACGTTGCTCCTCCTGCTTTTCCTCCCTCCCACTCCTGCTCCTCCTCCTCCTCCTCCTCTTCCTCCTTGTCCTTCCTCATCCTCGTCCTGCTTCCTCATGCTCCCCCAGCCTCCTCTTGGTCATCCCCATCGTGCCCGAACCTCGAATCCTTCTCCTCCTCCTCCTCCTCCTCCTCCTCCTATTCCTCCTCCTCCTCCTCCCAATACGGAGCAGCAGGAGTGCTCCAAATTGCCTCAGGGGTGGGGCGAGGGGGGCGGCCTCACTAGAAAGCCTCAGCGGGATCCAGAACGCGCCCCAGGGTCAGGAAGAAGACGAGGAGGCGGGAATCGCAGCCGGCTGCACCCGAGCCCGAGCGTTATGATGTTCCGACCTACTTTTTAGCCTTCGATCACCAGAAAGAATTTCGAGCGCCAGGGAAGTATAGAAAATGGAGGGTTCTCGCGTGTCGGGCCCCGGGATAGAGACACTCGCCCGACACTGTTTCGACACTCCTTCGACACTTTTCTGGGTGCTCGAAGTTATTCTTAAGTCGGGTCCGTCCCCCTACAGGGAGATTTTCGACGAAAAATAAAAAAACAAACAAAAATTCGCCGGCCCAACGGGCCAGAGGCGTGCTAAGATCTCCGGTAACTGGTTAACAATTTTCTAGTTCGCGCGCGCGGGGCGGCCCCTGGGGGTCCCCGGACGAAAAGTACCCCGACCAGGTCCCGGCCGGTCCCCGGCCGGGTCCCGGCCGGGTCCCGGCCGGGTCCCGGCCGGGTCCCCCCGAGCGCTCCATGAGCGCACCAACAGGGCTCCGAGACGTCCCCGAGAGCCCCAAGAAAGGCCAAGAGGCCCCCAAGAGGCCCCCAAGATGGTACACGAGGGGTCCGACATGCCACAAGATCGCTCCAAGACGCCCAAGATAGCCCCCAGACGCCCCAAGAGGCCTCCAAGAGCACTCCCAATAGGGCCCCCGGAGGCAAAAATCATTGTTTTTCCATAGGTTTTTGAGAGATTTTGGAGCTTCCACCTTTTCGGCTTCCCGACGCCCCAAGACGGCCCAAGAGGCCCCCAAGATCGCCCCAAGAGGGCCCAAGAGGCACCCAAGAGGGCCCCAAGATGGCCCAAGAGGGCTCGAAGACGGCCCAAGAAGCCTCCAAAACGGTCCAAGAGGGCCCCAAGAACGCCCCCAAAGGGGCCCCAGAGAGGGAACACGAAACAACATTTCGAGCCCTCGGCCCTAAGAAGCCCCTACGAGGCCCCTAAGAGGCCCCAAGAGGCCCCCACGGGGCCCTCAGGAGGCCCCCAAGAGTCCCCCAAGCGGCCCCAGGAGGCCCCCCAAATGCCCCCCCGAGCGCCCCAGGAGTCCCCCAAGCGGCCCCAGGAACCCCCAAAGCGCCGCATTGACACCAGGCCCTCGGGCAAACGGCAGACATGAGACTGTATGGGCCGGCGGAATGAGCGAAGCGATTAAATAATCAAAAAATAGTCTGGGGACTGTTTTTTTTAACATTTTTTTGTCATTTTTGGGGCATGTTTGGTGTATTGTTTATTTTTCGTCGAAAATCCCCGTGTAGGGGGACACGCCCGACGTAAAGTTATTCCTGGGATGTGGCCCTCAAGCACGCGGGGAGAAGCAGAGACCCCGCGCGCCGCAAAAGCGGGCTCCTGGCAGGGGCCAGGAACGCCTCGAACGCCGCGTGGAAGGCCACGGAGTGCCAGAGCGCCTGGAAGAGGCACGAGAGCCAGCACGTCTCCGCCTCTGATGGGGGCCACGCCAGGGGGAGGGGACGGGCACTTCTCGGGCCCGGCGAAAGGGGGGGATAGCAAAGGGGGGGGGGTGAGAATCAGCTCTTGGAAGCTTGGGAATTGGCACCAACACCAACATCAGGGGTTGCCTCCAAGGGGGAGGAAGATGATCCTGGATTCTGGTGTTGGCGGTAATCTTTCGGCCACATAGAAGGCCCGAATATTACCACCATCACCTGGATCGGGATCATCTTCCCTCGGTGGAAGCACGCCGCCGATATTGGTGTTGGTGTCAACCTCTAGGCCTCCGAAACTCACGTAGCTGATTTTCCCGGCGACTCCCGGCGCCGGAGGCGGCTATGTGTCGAGTAATGGGCCCCTCGGTATAGGGCCAAAACCAGCTGCATGTAGCAGATTTCGTAACCCCCCCTTTCCCGATCCCCCCCTTTCGTCGGGCCCGAACTCAGTCGGCCCCGGAAACGGCAGGGCCGCTTTTTCACCGTTTCCCCAAAAAATGTCCCTTGAAAATGGAAACGGCAAAAACACGGCGACTGGAAACGGCAACAAAAACGGCTCCAGGATTGGAACCAGAGCCAGAACCCGTCAAACAACGGCGACGGAACCGGTTAAAAAGCGTTGTCGGCAACAAAAACGGCAAAACGGAACCGGTAACAAAACGGCCCTGTCGTTTCCAGGGCCCACTAAGGACTGTCATAGGGGGGGATGCATCGACCTGGACTCGGCGATACATCGGTGATAGATCGACGATAGGCCTCCGATCGTGAATCCGCACCTCCCTGGGCAGGTTGGGGCTATCGGGCCCCTATCGGCGATCAATGGGCGATTGGGGGTCGACGCATCCCCCCTATGGATATTCCCCCCTATCGTTGCCCCTGAGCCTTCGGATTGGCAAAGTCCCGGTGGTCGAAGGACTGCTGCGCCAGGCTGTGCAGGAGCGCCTCTTCTCTCTTTCTGGGGGTCGATGCATCGGCACCTCGAATCGAGTCGGAATGTACGTCGGATCATTTCACATTGACACGAAGTCGGAACCGAATCGACTCGGCCGCGCTACGGTGCAAATCAGCGCCATGCAAGCGTCGTGCCGCATCGGATTGCTGGAACATCGGGATGAAATCGAATCGGGCTGGCAAGAACCGATGTCGAATCGGATCGACCGGATCGAAACAGGCCCTGAAGGGTGGCGGGAACAAATAGTCAATCGCGGAGCATGTAGCTCATGCCTGGCAGGATTGAGACTCCTTGCAGTCAGACTTGCACAGCAGTAGCAACCGCGAGACAGGGAGGGCGCAAGACGAATGGCTAAAGAGCCGGTCCATAAAGGGGCATAGGGCATGGGCATGCTATGCTGCGGCCGCACTACACCATCACCAATTCCCTCCACTCCGCCTGCTCCTTTTTCCGAGAAGTGTTTCGATCGGCGGAAGGCTCTTGAGGGTGTCGGGTGTAGAATTGGCCCCGAGCTCCGTATAGGCCCTGACATGAAAGCTGTTGCCCCTCCACTCCCTTGTGGCAGAAACGCCAGCACGTGTACTAAGAGTGGTGGCTCATAGTCACGCGCGCGCCTGTAGCGGCATGCGCCGCAGGTGATAAGCCTGTGCCCGTTGGGCCCGCAGGGAAAGCGCTCGGGCGAGTGCGCAAACTTTTTCTCCTCCTCAAGTCCTCAGAACATCGTCGGACCGATGACGCTTGCCAACGTTTGGACCGAATTCGCGCGACGCTTTGGCGAGACCCGCATGTTGAAAACGACCCACCCTTCATTCGTGAAATTCTTGTGCAGTTTGAAGACGACTGCGCGCGACGCTGGGGCGAGAGTCACATGTTGTCAAGGACCCGCCATCCATCAGTAAAACTCTAGCAGAATGGGCTTGAACGGGGGACACACTTCCGCGGGAAGGAAGGGCCGGTACTTCACAACCTCGTGCCTGTGTACGCGCTAACTACCACCAACGAGCAGTCCAACAACACGAACACATGTTTTGGGTCGGCGGGGCGAGGGCGAACCTCTTCCGCTAAAAGCTAGGCGGGCTACGCACAGCTTTACTTACGGAGACAAGGCACAAGAGGGCGAACAGCACGAACACACGAAAAAACAAAAAGACACGCAAACACGTGCAGCCCACAGCACGCCAGCGCGACGCTGCATTGGCGCCCTGCCGCGCGGCCTCCTCGCACGACTGCTTGGGCCAATCGAGGCTCGCCGGCCTTCAAGATCGTATCGCCGCACAAACATGTGGAAAACAAGGTTCCGACGTTCCTTTGCTGGGTTTTCAAACTGACGCGCGCCAGAATGCTGACACGGTCTCTATGCTCAAGGGACTGGGACACAATACCAGAATTAGCTGTTCCAGAAAAAAAACCCAAAAAAAGGTGGCACAACAGTCCACGAATTGTGACACAAGAAGACACGAATGTTGGCATGACAAGACGTTCCCGTGAAAAAAAAATGGGGGGCGACCCCCGACGGCACACCCGCGGCAACGCGACGTGAATGCCTTGTCGTGGGCGTTTCTCCTTCCGATCGCCCAGGCGCCCCCGCGGGTGCAGATATTAAGTGAATGCGCCCGCTGGCATGGATACCCTAAAGAGCAACGTCTGTGTTTGGAAAGGTGGTCAAAGAACCGAATGGTGCGGACCACGCGCGGCCGCTCATCTGAAAGCTGCACGCAAATATCGGCCGATGCCTAAGCTCATTGCAGCAGGCAAGCTACAAATCAGCCAGATAACCAAAATCACTCGCCCAAAACTGCAATTTGCAATTTCTTTGCACGACTCGTTGGTTTTTCGTTCGTAACGGAAATTCCTTGTGTTGTCCTTGCCCATCCATTGCCGTGAAGAGAGGATGCCAGCCATGAGACACTCCGGATTGGTCATCTGCCACGCCGGAGATTTGACGTCCGCGGCCGGCCAGGGCGGGACCCTGCACCGCGAAGTAATTGTCGACGCCGGGCGCAAAGACGCGATGGACCTGGACGCCCTCGGGCTGCATCTCAACGTCATGCTCTCCAGGGCGACGACGGTGGGCAACCCGCTACAGATTCGCGACCCCAGCCTTGATTCCCTTGCCCGCGGACCGCCCGCAGACCCGGCGGCGCACCTGGGGGGGCATAGCTCCCGCGCTGAAGAAGGGCAGGAAGGGAGCGAAGCAACTGGCGGGCGATGGAGGCCTCGCTCGCCGCTTTTGTTAAAGGGAAATTAGGACACACAAATAAATACACACAAATAAAAATAGTTTCCATATTTTCCCATATTTTCTGGGTTTTTGTCTTCCCCCCCAATTCCCATATTTTCCCATATTTTCTGGGGAGTCGACGATTAATTGTGTCTGTGTGTTTTTTCCCCTCCTGATTTGTGCTGGCTGTGAGCAGCTGTTCCTTGGGAGTGCCAGGGCGACACGGCGCGGGCCGCGCTGCCTGTCGAGAGCGCAAGGTGGGGAAACATCGGCACCCTCCTCCCAAATCCTGCGGCATTCTTTGTCGGCCTCCTCCTCCTCCTCCTCCTCCTCCTCCTCCTCCTCCTCCTCCTCCTCCTCCTCCTCCTCCTCCTCCTCCTCCCAATCTCCCTGCTGCTTCCGCGCTGTGTTTTCGGCACCCTTGCTTCCTTCTCCTGCCCCTCGTTCCCACCTCCATTTCCTCTTCGAGCCTGGGGCGTGAGGCCTCGTCTTTTTGTTGCTGTCCTGTGAGCCGCGCAATGGCGCGAATCCCATGAAGATTGCACAACAATTGGCGACTCTCAAACTCTCATCATGCATAACAATGTGGGCTAATGAATCTGATAACTTAAATGGATAGGTGTAAAGTCACAGGGTGGTTACATATCAAGCTTACTGTGATGACCTGACCTGACTTCTGAAATCTAGAACTTGTTGTGATTACTTCTTCTGGTGGCCAGACATGTAGAATTGTGCAGGACCTACATGCATGGAGGAAAGCCCCATTTCAAATCAGGACTCTCGCCCGAGACGCCATTAGGATTTATGACCAAACATTCACCAATCCGCCACCGTACCTCTGGGTTCCCCTCAGGCCCCGACATTTGAAAACCCTCCAGTGTCGATGCTTCCTTGGTGCTTCCTTGGTGCTCTGGTGATCAAGGCTCAAGTAGGTCGGAACATCATGATATTCGATGCGTTCCCCCCCTGAGCCAAACTCCTCCCCCGAACGTGGCGGCGCTCATGTAAGGGGTGGCGCGAAGGGGGCCGGCTTCCAAGAACCTTACAAGCCTCCCTGGCCTCCTATAAGAAGGCCCCTATCATTGTTAGGTCGGACGTGTCCTCCTACAAGCAGATTTGCGAGGACAAATGAAACATACTCACAACAAAAAAATCCAAAAGAGCACAAACACGTAAAATCGAAAAATGGCCCCCAGGCTATTTTGTGACTACTCTCGAATGTTCCTCCTGTCGAGGGACATGCCAGACTTTTAAGGCCATTGTAAGACGCCCCATCGGCCTTCCCCGAAGGCCGCCCCGCGCCACCCCCCTGCAGGCTGTCCGCCAGCTCCGGCGTTGGACCCTTCGGTGGCAACTCATGGGAGCCTCACATACGATCTTGTCCGTTCTTGCGAATCGACGCTCATCGACGCTAGCCGACGCTAATCGACGCCAAATCGACGCTAAATCGACGCTAGCCGACGCTAATCGACGCTAAATCGACGCTAAGCCGACGCTAAATCGGCACATATCACGATTTGCTACCGAAGGACCCCCCGTCCCCCCCGCGGCCCGAGCCTTGGCGTCGCCCTCCCCGGCCGGCGAGCGCGGCGGGCCAGGGCACCCCGCGGCCGCCCTGCTGCGAGACCGGCTCCGCGACCGGCCGCGCGGCGCGGCGCCCATGCCGCTGGGCCTCGCGGGCGGTCCCTCGCCAGGGCCCCTTGGCGGCGCCACGCCCGAAGCCCTATGCGACGAGGCCAGGGCGAGGGTGACATCGGGCGAGGCGGAGTCGAGAATCTCCGAGATCCAGCGGCTCTGGAGGGTGCCTCGGGCGCCGCGGCCTTCTGAGAGCGTTCTGGAAGGCTCTGAGTTATCGGGCGAAGAGCGGTAGAAAATAAACGTTTTCGCTGTCGGGGGCGCCGGTCCCTGGGCGGCTGGGAAGTTTATACCCTTACGGTGGCACCGTAAGGGTATAAACTTTCCAGCCGCCCAGGGACAGGCGCCCCCGACAGCGAACAAAAATATGTTATACCGTTATTCGCTCGCTGACTGAGAGCGTTGGGAAACGCTCTCAGTCAGAGTGTTGGACCTGGGAAGTTTATACCCTTGCGGTGGCACCGCAAGGGTATAAACTTCCCAGCCGCCCTGGGGCAGGTGCCCCCGACGGCGAAAAAGTTGATGTCATGCCGTTCTTCGCCAGCTGAGCGACAGGTATTCGAACCGGATCGATCTGCAAGGCCCCGTGGCATCGAAGCCGTGCACACTATCGCCCGTCGTGAAACACTGCGACGCCGGGATCTGCAGGCAGGGCGAGCAGCCGGTCCGGGGGGGGGCCAAGGCCCATATAACCCCTGGGGACCCCGCGCCTCGAGAGACTCGGGGCGTCGGATGCCCGAGGCGGTGGCGCCAGCCCTCGGTCGGGCATGCCCCCCCCCCTAGGTTCAGCGAAACGTAAAAAATATTCGAACAGTATATACGAAAATGGTCAAGAGACGCTCCAAAAATAGTCCCCGACTATGTTTTGACTATCTCTGAATCTTCCAGGACTGTTCGAAGACCAGAAGCAGTGTGCTCAGGACATCAGAAGCCCGAGGTGTAAAAACAAGACAGCTTCGGCCAGATATGTCCTGTCATGACACTCCGTGCAGACCACAAACGGCTCTCAGGACATTCTTGGGTGAGCCTACAAGCGAGCCTGGACGCTTCGCCAATGCTTGAGTCACACTGGGGCTAGGTCGGGCATGTGCTCCTACAGGCAGATCTGGGGCGAACAGTGATCACAGAGATCCAACAGATGTTCAAACATCGTCCAACCAATCATAAAGAAACGTCCCCAGACTATGTTTGGACTATTGTTAGATATTCCTCCTGCAGAGGGACACGCCCGACTGACCGTCGGGGCGGGGCGCGGGCCGCACTCGGGGATCCGCTGACCCGGGTCAATCCAGACCCGAGTCAGCCAGGCCCTGCAGAATCCTGCAAGTTACCAGCCTGGAGCATCTCCCTATCCCTATGCTGGGCATCCCCTCATCACGATGCCAGTCTTAGGGATTCCCTTATTTTTTGAGGGCGCATCCCTAAGATTGTCATCGCTTTTTGGCATGTAAATCTTAGGGATAGGGATATGTTCGAGGCTGGTGAGCAAGATCCTGCACCCAAGCCCGGGTCAATGCGAACGATCCTGCAAGATCTTGCGAGATCCTGCGCCAAACCCGGGCCAGTTCGACCCTGGCCCTGCAGGATCCTGCAAGATCCGGCGCTCTTGCTGGCCCCCGTCTACATCGACCCCCGTCCCCAGAGATTCGACGTCGTGATTGTTTCAATACGCGGTCCCCGGAAGTCTTGACCCATTCCCCAGGACCGGTCTTTCATCCTGAGTCGTTGTTTGACGGCCCCGATGCCCAGCGAGGGCCCCTGGGGGCCGAAATTTGCGAGAAACCTCCGTCTTGATTGTTTCCATACGCTGGATCTCTGGGTCTCTTTCGGCTGCACGTAAGAGTGACCCTGGGCAAGAGTGTGACCTGTGGTGCGCGGCTTCTGTGGGGGCGCGAGGATACCAAACACAAGCGCGCAAGACGCTACTGTCGCACCGAGCGCGGCGATCGGGGGACCCCAGTGAGCGCGCACCAAAGGTCACTCCGGCGAAGGGTCACTCTTACGTGTAGTCGACTCTTGCGCCCCGACGCACGGGCCCCAGACCCCCGACGTCATGATTTTTTCATGACGTCGATCCCCAGCGGTCTGGACCCATTCCCCGGGACCGGTTTTTCCTCCTGAGTCGTTTTTTGACGGCCCCGAGGGCCCGTAAAGGCCCCCAGATGCCGAAAATAGCGAAAAACCTGCCGCCATGATTTTTTCATGACTCGAGGGGGTCTGGGGCCTCGGCGTCTCGCCGGCCCCGGCCGGCGCGCGCGGCGCCTTTCGGCGCCGCGCCGCGCGGACGCCGGCGGCCGAGCCCCACGCGGCGGGCGGCGCGGCGCGGCGGCCCGCGCACGGGCCCCCCTTCGGGGGGGGGGGGGGGGGGGGGGGGGGGGGCGGCGCCCCGCCCTTCCCCGGGGGCCCCGGGCCGCTGGCGGCTCTCCGCAGGGCAGCGGCGGCAGGCTGCCGCGCGAGGGAGGAGAGCCATGGAGGGCGGGGTGCGGGAGCCGAGGGCAGGGCTGGACGGCCTGCACGCTGCCCTGCGTCCTGTCCTCGGCCTCCGTGCGCTCCTCGCTGGGCCCTGGCGCGTTCTCCCTTCGCACCTCTCGCCGCCGAAGCGGAGAGCAGAGCACGGCCGAGGTCCAGGACAAAACGGCGTCGAGGCCCAGCCCTGGCCGAGGATGGCCGCGGGGCCGAGCGCGAAGGGCGAGGGCCGCGGCCCGGAGCGGGGGGAGGAGCGGGGCGAGGAGGCGCGGGGGAGCCCGGAGCTGGAGCTGGAGGCGCCCGGAGCGCGAGGCGCGTGGCCCTGTGCCTGCCTGCCCGTGCGCGAGGACTCTGCGCCGCCCAGGGGCTTGGCTGGGGCAGCCTGCGGGAGCGGCCAGGAGGGGGGTGTCCGAGAGGGGGGGGGTGCTAATCATGACCGGCGGCATGTGCGCGGCCCAGCGGGGGGGCCAGGGGCGTAATGGAATAAGAAGAGGTGCCATGAAATCTGAGGAACTCTCATGGCCCCCGCCATGATATCCACCCCCCTCTAGTCATCACCCCCCTCTTTGCCGCTCCCGAAGCCTGCGAGGGGTGAGCACCCCACTCGGGTCAAGTCGGGCAGGTCATCCTGCCTGGGGGTTTTGGACGGAAAATATGAAGCACACATTCCCCAGCATGGCCAACTCATGCTCCACAGAAGTCGTCCCCAGACGGTGTTTGGACCGGTGTTGAACTCTCCTGCTGCAGAGGGACGGGCCCGACTCAACACTCTGGGCGGAAGTGTGGGAGGGGGGTGGGGAGGCTGCACGGGAGCGGCCGTGGGGCGCCGATGTCCAATTCAGCACCTGTGCGTCTCAGAGAAAAGTTTAAACGGTAAATCTAACACTTTTTTTGCTTCGTAGCATAACGTATGAAGTTTTAGACCTACACTCAAAGCTTTTAGGATCACAGTTCCAATCTCTGTCGGGGGGGGAGGAGGGGGGGGGGGGACAGGGGGGGGAGGGGCGAGGCGGGCGGGACGGACGGAGGCGGGGGTAGAGGAGGGGGAGGGGGGCGAGGAGGCCGAAGAGGGGGATCTGGACGCCCGAGATGGGCACGGAGAGAAGGGGTCCTCGGGCACGTTCGCACTGCGGCCTGCGAAGGGAGCGGCTGCGGAGGCTGCGTCAGCGTTATGAAGGGCCCCAGGACACACAAATTCGCCGGCCCAACGGGCCAGAGGCGTGCTAAGATCTCCGGTAACTGCTCTACAATGTTTCTACTTCGCGCGCGCGGGGCGGCCCCTGGGGGTCCCCAGACGAAAAGTACCCCGACCAGGTCCCGGCCGGTCCCCGGCAAGGTCCCCGGCAAGGTCCCCGGCAAGGTCCCCGGCAAGGTCCCCGCAAGGTCGGGCCAGAGATGCCGGAGCCCTGTTACAGGGCCCCAGGACGGGCCAAGAGGCCCCCAAGAAGCCTCCAAGACGGTCCAAGAGGGCCCCGAGACGGCCAAAGATCGCCCGAAGACGCCCAACAGGGCCCCAAGACAGCCCAAGAGGCCTCCAAGACGCCCCAAGGGCCTTCCAAGAGGCCTCCGAAGAGGGCCCCAAGAGGCCAAAATCGTTGATTTTCATTGTTTTTTTCGCTGTTTTTTGCGTTCTGGCTTTTTCGGCTTCCGGACGCTCCAAGACGGCCCAAGAGGCCCCCAAGACCGCTCCAAGACGGCCCATGAGGCTCCCAAGACGGCCCCGGAACGGCCCAGGAGGGCCCCCAAGACGGCCCAAGTGCCGCCCAAGACGGACCAAGAGGCCCCAAGACGGGCCCAAGAGGGGCTCAAGAGGGGAACCGAGAACTGAAAAATCGAGCCCTCCGCCCCAGAAGGCGCCCAGGAGGCCCCAAAAAGGCCCCAAGAGGCCCCCAAGAGGCCCCCAAGACGCCCCAAGAGGCGCCCAAGAGGCCCAAAAGAGGCCCCAAGAGGCCCCAAAACGGCCCCCAAGAGGCCCCAAAACTCGGCTAGCCCACAACTGTGCGACAATATGGGCCGGCGGAATGAGCGAAGCGATTAAATAAATATACACAAATAAAAAGATTCCCCATATTTTTACATATTTTCTGGGTTTCTGTCTTCCCCCCCACTTCCCATATTTTCCCATATTTTCCCGTATTTTCTGGGGAATCGAGGATTCATTGTGTCTGTGTGTTTTTTCCCCTCCTGAGTTTAGTTGGCTTTTAAGGATCAGGTAAGAAAGGCAGGTGCCTCCCCACTCTGCTGGGCATTCGAGCACCTGGGCGCGATCCAGGAATCACTCTGCCCGCAGCCTGCATCCGTACCTGGCTGGATTGCTCGATGAGGATCCCGCACTCGCACGCAAGCATCTTCTGTGGACGCCCGAAATGGGTACGGAAAGAGCGGGCACAATGCCCAACAACACACGTTGTCCCAAACCAGCGGAGGCCGCTGTTGGGCAGGCAGCCTTCTGTCTCAAATGGTCACAGGCCGCGGCGGCGCGGACAGCGAGTCCTGTTCAAAATGAACAGGAACTGCTGTTAGGCGTCGTACCCATTCTTTCCGTGCCCATGTCGGTCGTCCCGAGGGGAGGT